ACTACCAAAAATATGAACGGCTTTGTAGTTAAAAGACACAATTTAATGATTTAAGTGAGCACTAGGTTTCTAACACAAGCGAGAGCTCCCTATTCTGAAAATGTAGCATTTAGTAACCATCAATACACAATTCTTTCTCAGAACAGATTTTGAATGTTTTTGTACAATTCTCTAGTAAAAGCTACAAACAATAATAAGAGAAGTAAATGATATGTTTTTGAAATGATCATTTAAACTAGATTTTCACTTTAATAACAGTCAGCTAATAAGCAATTACAGAACATGCTTTCCTCTTATAAATAGTAAAAACTTTATTTCCTTTTTCCTCAAAAAGGTGTTAAGAATTAATATTAAGTGCTCATTTACAAACACGTATTACCAAAATCACTGTTAAATGAAAGGGATTCCTTGCATTAGACATTACATTTTAATGATAATTTAAGGAGGAAAAACAAACACTTTTTATTATGTTATTCATTAGAGAATTATTTCATTTTGCACAGAATTGCAACTGTTGCCAATTAGACTGCCAGTATTAAAAGACACTCTAGTCAGGATATTCTTTGAATTACATAATTCACCATATCCTTACTAATGAAAAGTTTAGATGACTGCATATACTATGCAAAAGTTCAAGCTTTACATCCATTATCGCTTTATTCATTCACACACAATGTATGTTTTTTATTATGTTAACCAAGAATGCAGTATAACATATTTATCTGAGTAATGTGTTGCAATTCAGTTTTGTTTCAGATAGAGTTCTGCAAGCAATTATATCTATTTCATTCCACAGAAACTCATCCTTCTCTCTCTCTTCCTTTTCCTCTTTATGTTTTTAAATGCTATATTGCCATATGTTATCTGATCTGTTAAAATCATGCAGACTTACAAAGTTCTTCATTTACAAATTGAAGCTGAAGTAGAAAACTTTTGACTTTTTAAATCTTTGATATTTAAATTGTATTTTCATGTGGATAGAAATAGCTCAGTAACACCATTTTAAGTAATCCTATGGTTCAACCTTTGTCTTTCTAGTCTAAACATTTTTGTATTTCTCTAAAGTTTATCTGGACTTTTTCAGTATGATGTATGTCAAGGAATCAGCCTAAGTGATAAAAGCAGGAAGGGAAAGTCTGCATCAGTGACTATTTATATTGGCAAGAGCTGACAATTTTATAAAAGAAAAACAAACATAGAGGCTGTTCATTTCTGAAATGAAATCAGCTTCACTTCATTTCTCTCAGGAAAACATCATCACATGAAATGATATAAATCAGTATTGATATAACTAAGCTTCAAACTAGAAGAGACAAATGCACTCTGCAGTACAGTAATTCAGTGGCTCTGAGTCAAGTTTACTGTTGTCTCGTTTCTACTAATCATCATAAAAATTCCCTGTGAAATAATTATCCCTAAAACAATCAAGACAGTATATCTCTATAAAGGAGAAGATCGATTTAACAACAAACTCTAGATTTATCTGTATTGATTAGAGGGCATTCAGTGTAATTTTAGTGAATTATGTTTGGCTTTCATTTCCCAGTAGAAATTTTTCTTGTGATGATCAAAAGGTAAATTGCAAACTACTACATGGTCTTTTGTGTGCTACCTACATAATATCTAACTATTACTTTTCAAAGAAACATTGATGTAAGAACGGACAAAATATATATATATATATATATTTACACATGATATCTTACTATAAAAATCATATGACTGAGTTTATAGCACTTACCTAAGAGCCTGATGTCATCTTCTCAATTCATTAATACAGAAATCAGGACTGCACTAAAGAGTCTGTGCTAAAGGAACAAATCCAAGATCATCTTATGAGAATAGAATTAGAAAGATTAAGAAAGTAATATGATTTTTCTTCTTAAATAGGAGTAATTTCAAAGGAGATGTTAACGCTTTCATGTCTGAAACTTTCTTACTAGCAAGAGGAAGAACTGAAGGAATCAGATTCAAAGACAATTTAATGTATCTGTAAGTCTGACAACACTGCTGATACAGTTTAATTGAAGACTAATTGGAACTAAGAAGGCTAGTTATTTTGTCAACTGCACATATATTAGTTCCAGTCATTTTTAATCCGATGTAACGGTGATAAAGAGTCTAACTTACTTTGTTTAGTTAATAACATTAGGCCAGAAAGGATCACCTAGTCATTTCATGTTACTCAATACACTGCTAATATAAACAATGTCTAATTACACTGATGACATACTTCCATGAAATGACCAATTAGAACATTTACTGATTCTAAATGTTCACTATTAGACACATTTCCAAAGGCTTTCTGTGGATGGTATTAATAAATTCTACTCCAGATGGTAGGAAGAGCAAGGACAGAATGCATGGGGAAAAAGTTCTTTCTAGATAGCACAAAGATTAACAGTGTATTAGGAACTGTTATGTTCCAGAAAGGCTTCCCCTCCCCACAAATATTTCAAATGAAAATACACTTTTTCATATTCTCTAGGAGCATGCAATTTTGCATGTTTGTACACTCTTCTTGCTGAATGAAGCAGATCATACCACATGTTCAAGACTAAAGGAACTATGTTAACATTTTTATATTTAGATAATTTTTAGTGTTTTGTATTAGCTTTAAAAATCGATTTATTGACAGTGATCTGTAGTTGGCATGAATAATACAGAAATGTTTCTTATTTATTTTTGTTACTTTACTGATGAGTCAGTAACTGCCCCCTTAAAACATCAGTCCAGCATGTTTTATGAAATGGCACAATATGACAATACAATGAAAGCAGAAAAATAGAATACATAAAAACAATCTCTGATTTTTCTAAAGAAAAATTGCTGACACTGTAAAAATTGCAATTTTAATAAAAGGATGTTTATTCCTTATGTAATCATACTAATAAATAAATAGATAGATAAATAAATAAATAAAATCCCAGTTTTGTTAAACTAAATAACAGCAGATCAGTATGTTCATTACCAAATCTAATTAACATGAGGTATTAGAAATACAGGAAACAGTGAGACAGTTATCTGAACAATTTAATAAATAAACAAATGTACTTTTAGAAGTACATTGAAATCAATACATATAATACACCCAAATAAAAATTTGAAACTGCAAAGCTCTCTGAAAGTTTTGATATCAGTAGCTGCTTTACAGGTGTCTAAAATGCTTGGCTGCTACATATGTCTAAAATGGGTAAGGTCTCAATCCTTTTCCCACATAAATGAGCACAAATGTTATCACTTAATTCAGTGGGTTAGTATCAGGTGTTTTTCCTGCTTGTGTTAGCTGATGCTGTTTTTATTCTACTTACATGAAAGCTTTTATTGGCATAAAAATCAGTAGGATGACCTACAGAGCTGACGACTAAGAATTGTTTGAGAGAATTAAAATATAACTTAAAAACTACAGCATGTAAATAATTACAATTTGTTAAAAATAAAATTAACAAGTATTCTTTTAAATTAATTGGTATTTTCTAAATGTGTGCTACATTGCTTTATACAGGATATTTAAAAATGAAATATATGCTAAACTTTGTCTTATTGTAATTAGATTAATAAAAGAGAGTAATTAAAAGACTCTTACATTTTTTCTAAGAGCTAGAAATTATTAAAGTATCCAGAAAAGAATCTAAGCTTTTATTTAAAAAATCATTCTTTGAGCTGAATTGCAATAAATCAATAACAATGTTATTGTTCAATAGGTAATAACTGTCTTCATATAAACTGAAAATATTGTTTGGGATGATTAATATACAATGCAGCATTATGCATTTGGGAGTGTCGATGCATAATTTTTAGTCCTAATGTTATTATGTAATTGAGAGAACATGTTCATTTGCCCTAATAACTACTAAGATGCACTTAATAAAATGAAATGTAATAATACTTGTAATTTAATCTATTCATGGAAGTAATTTTAAAAGTCTACCATTCTCTTTAATGTGGATAACATTCATAATTTATAAAGTGTTGTGATGCAGAATTGACAATGCCATTGTTTTTTACACTTTGAGATGATTCTGCAGCCTTCATTATCTGCATACCAACCTCAGGATTATCAAGGGCAAACAAAAGATAATTAACACCAGAAACAGGCAAATGCAGGAGCTACTGAGTGAGGTTTCTCATTTAATGCAGAACCTTTGAAAACTGGGAAAAGGAATAACTACTTAAAACCTTTTCCTCCCCCCCTCTTCCTCTGCCCCTGAAAACTATTTCAATGTTTTCTTCTCTTCATTTTCAAATATCAGGGTTGTGGTTTTTTTTGCTATAAAACTATATTGCTATGTTCACCCTCATATGAATCATAAGTATTATTTCAAAGTACCAAGTGTTAATTTTCTGCTGTGTATTTTTGTATAGAATAACAGAGAGGCTATTATGGTATGGATATTCAGAATCTATTGTTTCATTTGTGTGTAAAAAGTCACTATTTCTCCGTGCCTTATTAGACAGTGCTCTAAGATAGGGGCAAAAATGTCTTCTTCACTGAGGTGTTTAATGAATAAGGTATATTTTTATTTGCTAAGAGCTTGTGTGACTGCCTATGGCACTTTTATATGTACTCACAGCAGAACAATAAAGGTTTACTAAATGCTGATATAGGTCCAAGACAATATATTTCAAATAGAGAGGATCTCTAAAACTTTTTTCTTTTTCTTTTCCCTCAAAGAATCTTGGCTATGATCCTGCATTGCACTCTAAAAGGTTTGCCATATAACTAACCATTTCAGAAAATAATCAGTGAAGATCCTCCACGAAAAGAACCTTTTGAATACTGGGTAAAGAAGCATTGTATCATTAGACTTATCTGTGAGTGAACATTCTTCTACAAATGGTTCAGGAAAAGTCATTTTACAAATGGAAATATAGGACAGTGACATTCAGAGTTTCATACAATTTACAGATGTTGATGACAGTCCAAATTCCCGCCCCTTACTTACATAAGAAATTCTTATTACAAGGGAATGTAATTATTAGCCTATGAACCATCCATGAAAGAGTCAGCCATTTGTGCTTAAATGGCATGATGTATTACCATATATTACCACTTTTTACACTTTTGAACTGAAAATACCTGATAAGTAACTGATCCTAAAATTATATGCAAACAGAGGGAGCTTGCTTTTAGTCCAGTGCAGCAGGCTGACAGCACTGTGGGAGGATGGGGAGTAACATATTAAGATTCCAGTTCCATGAGATTAATTTTCTTCCAAGATATGGTGCCAGTTATATCTATGACAGTACCATCATTGTCAGGGTCATCCCTCTTTTCTGCTGCCCTGACAAGAACCCAAGAACCGCTCTATCCTGCACACCCACATTGGGCAGTGAAAGGCAAGAAGTGAATGTGATGGGCCCTGCTCTGCATCTCAGTAGGACAGCAGTGGTAGGGACATGCTGAAATCAAGGCCTAGTGCTCTCTTCACATTCGTGGTTTGATTCTCACAGATAGACAGGTCAGAGTACTTAAGTACCTAAAATCACACAGGCATCTATAAGGACTTCCAGGCATGAAGTTGTCAATATTTGTATCTTTGCTACCTGGATGCTATCTACATAATTCTGAAGCACAGGACTACAAACTCTTTTCACTCTTAGTTGGAAAGCTTAGGAATTTGAAATAACTTAAGAATCAAGATGATAAAACTCCTAAGTGTTATGGGTAATTCTTTTTTCTTATTAAAATTCATATTTTAAGGATATGGGCTTCAGTTCTACAAATATTTATATAAAAGCTTTCTAACCTAAGGTCTTTAAAAAGAAATGTACCATGGCTGGACAAGATAACATGTCCCTTTGATGTAATAGAGAATAGCAGTTCCTTCATGTAATTTTATTTATTTAAAGTCCTCCCCCCCGCCCCCCCACCTCACTGCCCCTTCATTGAACTAATCTTCTATTTAGCTCCCCTTGCCCTGCAGGAAAACAAGGCATACTCTTCCAGCTTTCTTTAAATACATTTCATGGAATACAATACCTTTTTTTATTTACATATGGGAAAACACAAAGTTGCAGCTTGATCATCAGGTGACAGAGAAATAGTACATGATACCAGGCAATGTCAGAGGACATTCAAATCTTCCATAACAATCACTACTATCTATACATCCACACCTGTCTCCTGAAACAGGCAAGGCAACGCCTGTGTAGACAGTCAACAGAGTAGATAATGCAGAACTTTTTCATTACAGAGACACTCTGCTTCCACACCTTATCCTTTTAACTGCTAATAATGACAATAATGACCACAAAAATAAAACTTATTTCCTAATCTTTGCATGTATTATAAGACTCGTTCTCAAAACTTGTTTCTAGAGCTACCCTGCACAATTTTCTGAACATCTTTTGTGTGTCTGTGGTGTTCAGAGTTTTATTTTAGAAGCTTACTATAGACTATAATTTTCAGAGATTTGTAGTAAGTAAGGAAGAATACTGAATGCTTATCAGCTGCAGTGAGCTAAAATAGCATACACTTCTTATTTACATATTTTTAAGGTTTGCATTGCATTTAACATTATATCCATGCTATGCGCTCACATTTTCTACATATTTATTTTACCAAGAGATGCGTTTTGGAAATTTATGTTGTTCTTTCCGGACTGGCACAGTAGTTAAAAGACACATCAATTTAGTCTGTGTGCACAGTTCCCACCTGTGTCAAGGGGAATTTTGTGATGAACTGAGAACAACAGACAATTATATAATAAAATGCAGGTATTTAAAGATGTGCTAATAACAGAACACAATAATACTAGCATGCATGTGTGTGCACGTGCATGTGCATGAACCAGAGTTTGTCAGAATTTGGAAACTTAGGTGATATTACTGATATTACTAAAACTACTCTTATTATGTATTATATCCCTTATGAGAGGAAACAGGACTGTCTTTTCAGATGCTGAGTTCCTGTCACTTCATATAACCTACCGAACTGATGAACTGCTTTAGCTGTATAGAGGCTCACATGCTATGATCTATTATAATTTAAAGTGGATTTAATTCACTATTATAATATATCTATTATAATTTAAAGTGTTCATTCCTGCAACTGCATACTTATTAAGAGCTTTATGATACACCTTCAGGTAGAACCATCTTACTGCCATATGTTGCTCCATGGCAAACTGGCCAGTTCCAGAGTTGTAGACTCCACACAGACAAAGATGTGGTGAAGGTGAAGGGCCTAGGGGGGAAGACGTGTGAGGAGCGGCTGAGGACACTGGGCCTGTTCAGCCTGGAGAAGAGGAGGCTGAGGGGGGACCTCATCCTGGTCTACAACTTCCTTGCGAAGGGGAGTTGGGAGGCAGGTGACCTATTTTCTGCAAACACCAGTGATAGGACCCACAAGAATGGTGTTAAGCTGAGGCAGGGGAAGTTTAGGCTTGACATCAGGAAGAGGTTCTTCACCGAGAGGGTGGTTGCACATTGGGACAGGCTCCCCAGGGACGTAGTCACTGCACCAAGGCTGTCTGAATTTAAAAAGTGATTGGACTGTGCACTTAGTCACATGGTCTAAAATTTTGGGTAGACCTGTGTGGTGCCAGGAGTTGGACTTGATGATTCTTATGGGTCCTTCCAACTTGGGATATTCTATGATTCTATTATATGATTCTTTGACCTTGGAGCAACAGAGCTTTGTCAGACCAGAAGTTTCTACAACCGGGCAGGATACCTGCAAAGGGAACTATTTCATTCTGCATATGATTGACAATGAGCTCCATTTAGGCCTATATCTGCAGTAAAGTACCTGGAATTCTTGGGAGAAGACAAAGTTAAACAAGTTTGACAGTAAGTCCCTAAAGTTTCAAATAAACAAGTTAACAAGTCTATCAAATAAACAAATGGCTTATATATACAATATATTGGATGCAGATTGATTTTTCTCCCTGAAAGTGCATGCACCACAGATATATACACCCTTCAAAATTGTTGCCTAATGATAGCAGATTATAACTGTCAGAAAATAAATGAATAAACAAACAAATAAATAAATAAATAAAAGTAATAATTAAAAAGCCTTTGCACTATATTAAAAGTCAGTGGTCACCTTCCAGAATCTAATCAAGGAAGATCACTTCAAGGTAGGTTACACATGACAAGGAAGCACTATTTCCCAACATTACCGCCTAAGCTTCACCTTATGTTTACGGTGATCAGAAGGATCACAGTCCTGCAGCACCTCAGAAATCCAGTTTGACACCTGCAGGAGGCTGCTCACACCACGGACATGTTTGGAGGTATTCGGTGCTCATGTCCTGGCAATGCCATGACTGCTTTCCTGGATGGGCTCTTGCTGTTATATTATCACTGCTTCAAATACCGTTCAGATTCTCCTGTCTTCAGCTTGGAGATCCATCCTGGAACACATCTGAAGTATGGGGTCAGCTTTGATATATGGTATTCCTTGTGCTGCAATTAATAACTTACAACAATCAGAAAAGAAAAAAAAAATGTAAAAAAAAAAAAAAGTATACTTTTCCTTTGATTTTCCTGGATAAAGTTGTGCTTCTGATACTTCAGTGGACTTACTGCTTGAATAATTTCAATGTGCCAGATTTCCAAAATGCTTACCAATGACCATAACTGCCAAATACATGTATATGCAGTAACTGCAGGAACAAAGAAGTGGATATGTAATCTGCCTGTGTGTGCAATTACAGTAACAGTTGTTCGTACATGTTGCATGAATGTAGTTTTATGTATGCAATTATGGAAATCAAAGCCTGAGCTTGTACTGAGAAATGTAGATACCTCCCTAACTGAAACCTATGCCAGCTCTACTCTTTACTTCCAACTGACTGAAGAGCTTTTAAAACTCTTTTACTACATTGATTCTTCTAGCTGTCCATGCACACTGTGTCATAACATTATTCAATTGATCTACAGTTGTGAGGGCCAAAGTGGATCTCTGGATAGAAGGAGAATAACTGGCCAAGTTTATCAGTCATGCCAGATAAACTTCTACAACTCAAAGTGAACTCTTTTGAGTGGAGTTGGAGAAAGGAGTAATCTGGAACTTTTGAGCGTCTCAATGATGGGAGAATACACTGAAGAAGCCCTTGTTTGGTGGTCCAGTTGTTCAGTGATCACACTTAAGTTACTGAAGCATATCTATTAACCTGCATGCTACATAATGAATAAAGTGATGAAAAATTCTTGATTCAAAGCACAAACTGATTTATTTGAATTAAAGGTGGTTATTGTTATTATTGTTGCTGTTTTGTTTGGTTTGATTTGGTTTGGTTTTGAATTTATCTGTGGTTTGCTAGAGTGCATTTTTTGTCCAGAAATTCTCAATAAATACTTTTGTAGAATTCTGTCTTTTCTGTGCATTCAGGCTGCAATCTGAAAGTAAGTTTCAAGTTTAATTAATGTAGCTACTAGATATGCTCAGAATCTGTCAAACAAGGAAAACCATACTATAACCTTAACTTTGCCTGTGAGTTTACAGTAGAGTTTGGCCATGGAAAAATATGGTTTGCTTATGTCAAACAAAATCTAAATAACTTTGACTTACAGAAGCTAATTCTACCACTCAGATTTGTAAATTTCTATTTTCAGATTTGAAATTTCTATTTCAAAAAGAATAGAAATAATTAACTTATCTACCATAAAAAAAAAAAAAAAAAAAAAAAAAAAAAGGAAGAATCACAACTCCTATACAGGTAAGTGCTTAAGTGCAAAGACACACAAAAACAAACATACAAGTAAACAAAAACTACAAGTCAAAAGTCACTTCATCTTAACAAGCCCCATTTTTTTTAAGAAATATATTATGGATAGATGAGCATTTATGGAAGTTACACTTCAAATTTAACTGCTCTTAAATCTAGAAACAATGCCTCAAAGATGATTTGGTGGTCAGCTCCCTTAAAGACTCTGGACATGCATCTCATATTTAACTATTTATCTCTAAGTGATGTAACAGATCTGAGGATGAATATATGAAACAATGCTATGAGGGCTGAAGGGAAGAAGTTCCTAACATTTTATT